GATATGTCTTGACTTCAGTTTCGTTGTTGATAAAATGAGAGAATTATTATAAATAGTCTCTATGGCTCTAAACCTTTATGGTTTAACTTGTAATTTTGAATCTTTGATATGTGTTGAGAATGAAAATTATGCATAGTATTGCTGTGGCAGCTAAAACTAAAGTGCCACCAATGTAACACTTTCATTCAATATTCGACAACCATTTCCTGAGCACTGACCAAGTGCAAAGAGCCATAAAAGACACGGTGGGGATGCAGAGATGAGTAAGGAATTCAATCTTGGCTTACCATTCAAAAACCAATAAATACAATTCACTCCATTGAGAAATTAAAGGAGAAAGAACTTAATATCGATTCAATAGACGCAGAAAACAAAATTCTTACAACCCAGAAAGGAAATTTGCTACATAAAATATTCTTGGTAAATACCAAATGTTTTTGTTCTAACACCGGGAAAGACAAGGAAGTTTTCTGTAACATTTCTGTAAACATTTTACTGGAATCATAAATAATACAAACATTGAACTGGAGGTCACAGACAGGAAGAAAATGATGTAAAATGTGGTTGGATTAGGGAGGAGGAAATAAAACCATTATTGTTCATAGATAACAATTGTGTATGTAGAAAACCTAAAAAGATTTTATAAATCAATTATTAGATTTAATAGCGAGCTTAGCAAAGTTAACATATAAACTTATTTAAAATAAAAAATAGTAACATCCACAGTGTCATTCTAAAACATCAACTACGTAGGAATAAATCTAATGAAAGTTGTTCACGAAACAAAAAGTTGCTAAGAGAAATTAAAGAAGAGTTTAAAAACAAAGGAAACATTTTGTTTAGGACTAGAACACTTAATATTATAAATCTTGAATTGACATTTTTGCAAAAGAACATATTTAAAGGGCCAGTAGACATATGGACAGTCAATCTCAATAGTTTTATTCTTTGTCATTTACATTTCATGTATCCTTTAAGGGACATAAGCAACAGTGCTTGAAGAAAATTGGCAAGACATACTAGCTGGACTAAACAAATATATGCATCACATACACACATACACACACACAGACAGACACACACAAAAGCAAATTCTTGATGGCCCAAAGCTCTTCTAGAATTTCCTGGAAGTGTTGACACCTTACACTTATGAACTTCCCTGGCCAGGGACTGGTTCTTAAAACTACTCTTTGTAACCATTGTCAGAGTGAGTGGGTGGACAAATAGAAAAACACAAAGAGGAAATCACAGTAGGAAATCTTGAATTGACAGTTTTACAAAAGAACATATTTAAATGGCCAGTAGACATACGGACAGTCAATCGGGAGATGAAAAGAGCCTTATTCACGGAAATTACACAAAAATTGCGGAGATAACCTCATCCTGCAAGCAGACAGTGGATAACTAACCAATCTTCATTATTAAGGTTGAAAATTCTATAAAATTTATCAGGATACATACCTTCTGACAATACATATGATTCGTAATGAATCTTATTTTCTCCAATTATGAAAATTTTCCCCTCAAAATGTATATGTGTGTATTTGTTGTATTGCTGCCGTATTGATAGATTGCCACGATTTCATTTTATTAAAAATAATAAATATCTCCTGAGCACCTATTATGTGCAAGGCAATGTACCAGGTGGTGAGAATACAATGAGTAGCATGTATATGATCCTGACTTCATGAAATTTACTGTCTTGTGAGGGCCTCAGGAAATTTCAAATGTAAGTAAGATGCAGCATGATAACAGCTGGTCAGAAAATGAAAGTGATTGAACTGTTAGAGGACACAGGAGGGGCCCAGGGCAGACGTCTTTCAAGGGGAGGCATCTATGCTTGGAACTAGAAAACGAGTAAGGCATGACCATAACTATGGGACATTCCAGGTAGAAGGCATGCTGTTAACAAGCCGGGGTGAGGACACATGGCCCTTCTGAGGAGCTCTCAGTAGTTGGGATGGCTAGAGGGCAGAGGATGAGGGGAAGGTGGCTAGAAATGAGGGAGGTGGTGGGCAGATCAGCAGAGCCTTGCAGGCCAGGTCCAGGCATTTGGGCTTTATCGTAAGCAGCCTTGAAGGGTGGTCAACAGGAAGGGGATTACGTTAGCAAGTTAGACTAGTTAGGAAGCTGTTGAAGTATTTATGGTGAGAAAACAGTGGTAAAACCAAGGGGGTGGGTATTACCCATAATCTCTGTTCGTCCCCTCGATCCATTTCAGATAAATTTAAGTTACCCCGTGTGCTTGCTATGCAAATTCAGTTTCAAGTTCTCCAGCTTCCCTTCTAGACGTATTTTCATATTTCCAGCCATGTTTCCTCATCTTTGAGGTAGGAGTGAGACTTTGAGTAAGATAGTGAGAATAAAAAGACAAATTCAAGAATATATTTCTTATATGTTTAGTCAGTGGTGATTTGTAAATACAAGAACCGCATATTATTTATAGAGATGTATATTATTTATATTTACAGGACTATATCGAGTGTGCCGAAAAATTATACAATGCCAAAGTGGAACCTGTTGACTTTACAAATGCTTTAGGAGAAACCAGCCGTGACATTAATAAATGGATCGAAAATAAGACCAATGGTGAGTGTGATACCCGATTTATCTGAAAGATTTGTCAGTTATATGTGAATATTGAGAACTGTCAACTTTAAAGCTAAGACTCTTTTGCACATATAAGACTCTTAATTCGAAGTAATGATTGCTGTTATTTAAAACTGCTTTCGTGTTTGTCTGCAGTAGTTTCAAGGAATCTTAATAATTCGAGTGCTTTATACTTTACGGAAGTCTTGTTTATTACATTATATTTTTTGATTGGAAGATAATGTGAGACAAATAGATTTTATTATGGCCATTTCATGACCTAGTGACGAGCTAAGGTAATTTACTCAGTTATCCTCAATATCTCATACCTGGTTAGTGAGCAAGGCTAAGAGTAGTTTATAGGACATTATTTTTATTCTAAAGATCAATCCGATATTTTACTGTTCCTTCTTGGACTGAAGAATCTTGTTAAAATGATGACATCTCACTGTCTGAGAAATATATTTTCATATCGTTGCTTTTTCTTAAGGTTGCATAGTTTGTCTTTAAGAATGCTTTTTATTTATCAAAATAATACATGTGGCACAGATAGTACCTTCAGGAAAAAGTACATCTCTTTATTAGTAAGTCTCTTTCACATCCTAATGAATTACAGCTAATGTTCTGGTTTCGTACAAAACAAATAAGGAAATCTATTAATCGTTGCTTTGTAATCAGCCAATTCCAAAGCTAACCATTTCTTTACCTAAGGCTTAGCCTTGATTTATGCTTAGAACAGTGTATGTGTATTTGCTGAGTCTGGCGCTGTATTAGAAATATGAGATGTGCTTTGTACTGTTAAATGCAAACATTCAATAGCCCACAATTAGTTCTGTTCATTGCATCATTAGGAGGTTACTTTGATAATTCGCCACTACATATTTCAAATATGCTATTCGTAAATCAAGAGAAACTGAAATTACTTTTGTAATAACTGAATGGGATTCTATTTAGTGTTTAGCATTTGATGATATCAGATTACTGATACCTTTCCCTATTTAGACAAGTTATTTATTTCTGTTCTTTCCCTTTTCATGCAAATCTCTGTATAAGTATTCTCATTTTGATAAGCACATGTACTCATTACTTGTCTGGGGGAACATTTCAAATTATGCCAATGTTCCAACAAACCCACCCAAGTGGCATCATCTCCCTCATCCTCCTCTACCAGAACCATCCTTTCGAAAGGCAAATCTGATCTATCATGACTATGCCCTTTCTTGTATTCCAATGGATCCTGAACGATAATTTTCCACTGCTTTCAGGAGAATCCGAAATTCTTCCCAGACATTCAAGGGCTCTTCATTATCTGGCCCGGGCCTCCGGCCACTCCAACTTTGCTCTTTCTACAGCATCAGAACGAGTTAGGGATTCCCAAATACACTCTGCTCTTCCAGGCATCCACGTCTTCGAATAAATAGTCCCGGCTTTACATAAGCTCTCCTTGTCCCCCAGCTTGCCCTCTGCTCAAGCAGGTGGCCCAGACAGAGATGAGTGCATCTAAGCTGTGATCCCGCAGCACACCAAGCACGTGGCCGTGACACCAGGATGCCACAACTGCGTGTATTTGTTGCCCGCCCCCCCCACCCCCCCGGTTCTGGAATGTGAACCCACTGACTGCATATGCCGTGCCTTTCACTGCTGTGATCCAAGTATCCAGAATAGCGCAGAGCATTGAGCAAAATCTCATGAATGTGGAAGGAAGGGAGGACTTAGATCTTTCGAGAGAATGGGTTAAATTCTCTTTGCAGTGCTGTGGCCTCGTCTATGAGATAAAGGCAATTCGGTGCCCCCGAGCAGGGAGAGGATCTGGGAACTGTCCTCCTGGATGGGAATCCTGTTGCCAGGTTTCCTCGTCGTGCGACTTTGTACAATTTACCTAACTTTCTTCGCTCCAGTGTCTCCAACAGGAACCGGAAACAATCACAGTGCCTGCCTCACAGGGATTTTGTGAGGATTAAATTGAATATTGCACAGAAAGTGTTTAGAAAGTGCTGGACAGAGTAATTGCTCGCAGATTACTACTAATATTATTAGTATTATACGGGATAAGGAAAATATGCTTCTCTCACCTTTAAATTTTTAAAATTTAAATTAAATTTAAATTAACGTTTTTTTCCTCAATCTATTTTTCAAAAGGCAAAATCAAGAACGTCGTTCTTGAAAGCAGCATAAGCTCATCCGCCGTGATGTTGCTGGTGAATGCTGTATACTTCAAGGGCAAGTGGGAGTCAGCCTTCATCAAGAAAGAAACCATAAATTGCCGTTTCAAATCTCCCAAGGTATGGAAATCTATTTAACTTAGGTGTTTGTTTTGTTGTTTTGCCAATATTATTATTTTTTTACAGAAATTGTGGTATTTATGTAGACAAATGCTGGGTTCGTCATTTCTTTACTCATTTAATCTACTGTATTAACGACACTCTATAAAATAAACTTTCTATTTTTCTGCTAATGCAGGTTATGGAACACAACTGGAGGTGTCATGTAAACTGATATTTCTTAAAATTTATTTGAAATTGAGAAAAGTAATATAATAGGAATTTATTTTAAGATAGTTTAGTAAGTGGCTTAGGTGAATAAAATATGAAAGAAAGTTTTATTTTTTTGTGATTCTCACTGTGGGGTTCACAGTCAGAGTCACTTAATATCAATAATTTTTCCTGAGTAAAAGCAAAGATATGTTTCCTTTTACAATGAAGAAAGTTATGCTTAATAAAATTATGCATTTTCAAGTATTGGTTATATCTGTTTCTTTATTACTTTTTGATATAAACCACCTTAACCAATCTTTATAAAACGTGTTCTTGTTTTTTTTTTTTTTTTTTTTTACCAATTTGTACACAATAATCTTAGTATAGTAGAAACATCAAAGGCCTTTGAGTCAGAAACACTGCATTGAGGTCCTTGCCCTGCCTCACAGAAGCCGCCTTATCTTAGGCAAGTCAACCACTATAGACCTCCTCACAAATGAACTAAAGTGATTCCATTAATTCATCTCCAGTGTTCAAATGTTTAATCTTCTACGTTGAGATAGAGAAATTCAGGTTTAATTTTTAAGCTTAGCTTTATTTTTCAAGTGGAAAATGTTATCGAAATGTTCTTTATGCATTTTCCCATATCGGAAGTTTAAGACACAGGAGTGCTGAATGCTGATAGAAATCAAAGATCACTGGATGAGTGAGGAGATGGGGGAGAGAAGGCCACCTAGGCAGGCTGTATCCACGGGTACGGCTGGAGGAAGGTATTTGGGAGGCATTTGAGAGGAAGGAGGCTTGAGTAGAACATCGACTAGCACGACCAGTGACTGCCCCCTGCAGCCCGCATGGAGAGCAGCCAGCCCGGCCTCGTGTCCATGACTGCAGGGTCATAAGGAGAGCCTTGCAAAGCAAGTTTATAATGCAGTGTCTCTATGGGAACAAAGAGAGCAGCGTAGAAATATTTCAAAATTTGTAGATGAAAAATATATAATAAATCTTAAAAAAAAATGCAGCCTGTCTTGAGAGACGTTATCTGTACAGTCCCAACAGGAAGGCTATTAGGAAGCACTAGAATTTTAGTGATGGGGCTGCATGGTGAGAACAAAGTCTGGAAGTGG